GTTCAAGCCACTTGGGTTGAAGATGTACACCAGGTTGCGGTGATCCGTAAACAGACGGAAACCACCCGGGCGTACGATCAGGTAGTCGAGTCTCTTGCACGACTCGACCACGGCATAGGCCTCCTTCTCCACGATGGGCCAGCGCGCACTCGCACCAGAAAACGACCCACTGATGAACGCAAGCGGCTGGTGCCGCTGGTCTTCGAGAGGCAAATTCAAGTCCGCTGGCGGTACTTGTGTGGCGACCGCATCCCAAAACAGGTCACTGGCGTCCGTGAAGACGCAGACCGTCATGTCTTCTCGCGGGTGCGACAAGGGCATCACATGCGCCAACGCGTGTTTCACCTCGTTGAAACACTTGAGATGATCGAACGACCATCCCACGGCAGGGAGTGCAACACGCACTAGCGCCGTTTTCTTGAAGCTTCCGGCTGCTTTGGTGGCCACGTCGAGCAGACGTCGCAACGGATCCACCAGCTGGTTGTAGCCGGGGATGCTCGCACGCATCCAGTTGGTGGCACACACAAACTGCTGGAGATCGGCCGCGGTCGTCGGCGGCGACAAATCCACGAGTCCTTGAATTCGGCTTGGGAAATGGGTGATTCCATCGGCCGAAATCACCTTGCCACACCATTCTGTCTCGCGCAGAAAGAAATTATACTTCTTCGGGGTCAACTTGAGTCCAAACTGGGCATAGATGGACAGGACTTGGTCCAACAAGTCGAGCAGGTCGTCCGTCGTCTTGGCGGACCCCAGCAAGTCATCAAGCCAGGCCAACAGGCCTCGAAACAGCAGCTCACCAAACGTTTGGTGAACAACCGACTGGCAGTACGCAACAGCGTTCGTCTGTCCCATGAGCACGGGGGTCGGGGTGTACACGCCGAAGGGCGTCATAAACGAGAAGTACATCTGGCTGTCCGCATGTAGTGGCAACTACCAGTACCCCTTGGTCCGATCCAACGTGAAGTACACGTTCGTTCCGACCAGACAGACCATTGCGCTGTCCAGGTTTGGCATCGGCCAAGGCATTGGCTCCGTGCAGGCATTGATCGGCCTGCTGTCGATCGTCATGCGCAAGTCGCCGACTTCCTTCTTCGGCACGATCCTTGGGGCTGCGGCCCACGTAGCCCAGTTGTTTTGGTATACCATACCAATCGCATCCAGGGCAGCCACATGGCTGCGCAAGTACTCCACATGCAGCGGCGGGATCCGAACCTTCAATGGCTCGACCTGAACTGGCGGATCGTAGCCCAAGTCTTGACGGAACACATCAATGTGTTTTGTCAATAAGTCGTTCAGCCGCGTCGCTTCAGCGGGCGCAAGCCCGCGCTTCTCCGCCTCGGTTGCCTTGGCCGCCAGAGTGGCTTCGTGC